AGATAGATAGATAGATAGACAGATAAATAGATAGATAGATAGATAAATAGACAGATAGATAGATAGATAGATAGATAGATAGATAGATAGACAGATAAATAGATAGATAGATAGATCGACAGATAGATAGATAGATAGATAGATAGATAGATAGACCCACAGAGTGAAACCACTGAGGTTGTTGCCATAGCAACTGTCAACTTAGCTCTCTGGAGTTAGCCATAGACTCTGGTGTTAGCTCATGTGCTAATTTAAAGCAGGAGAACTAACATTAGACTCGTGCTGAAGTTTTTTTTATCTGAACTCTTTTTGGAACGATGGAAGAACCGCCGCGGGTTTGTGAGCTCCTTCCTCTGGCTCTGCCCAGAGGAGCAGAGAAGCTGTGTGAACTCTGTCAGAGAAGAGCTCACCTGCAATGCGACAAGTGCCGGCTCACGTTTTACTGGTAAGACGCCTGTTGTTAGCATGACCCGTTGTTAGCATGACGTGTTGGGCTGCTGACGACACGCCACTGTGTTTACACGTGAGGTCAGAGTTTCCACATGTCGCGGTTTGGTCTCTTGTTCGTTTCTTTGTAGACTTGGTGAAACAGTGTCCGCGGCTCGGACGCTAGGTGGCAGTGTCGGCCGTGCGTCCTGAGCGGAACACGTCGCCATGACTGGAGCTCATGTGACCGCTCGGTCAGGAGGAAGAGGAACAGCTGGAAATGAAATTAACACACTGATTATTTCCCTTCTTGTGACTCGCAGGGGATTTTTTTTAAACCTGCGTCTCCTCGATCATTTGAATGGGTCAACATCGGCTTATTTCTTTATTTATAAACGCAACAGAACATCACGGTTGGCGCAGGTTCCCTCCTCTGCAGACTCAATTACAGATCATAAGATGGTGCTTGGTGAAATCCTCGCTGGCACAGGATGGGAGCGGAGAGGAGCATGTGGTGACATCCCTCCCTGCAGGGATTTATGCAAAGGGATGAGCCACTACACCCAGTCTCTTAAAGGGAGCTTACAGCCTCTTACTGTGCAGGCTCTCTCCTCTAAGCCCTCAAATGAAATAATGCAAACACATGCATTGAATTAGATTAGATTAGAGATTTGAGCTTCTATCATTCAATTACACCTCAAAAAAAAGGATAGATGGGCCAAATCTAAGAGGTTACACATGTCAGATAACAGCAAATGTAGCTTTTATTCTTTGTCTCATCAACATAGTATTTTTGTCTTGAAAATACATTGAAAACAAGACTAAACCCTTCAGAAACCTGATTTAAGACATGACATATTTTAAAAACATGCTGCCTGGATAATGTCCCCAGTTATATTTTTGCTTTCTCTGTTTATTATTGGACAGATTGACCAGAAACATGCAAACAAAACCCAGCAGAGACAAGACAGTGCTGTAGCTCTGCGTCCTGAGACGACCCCTTTCGATTTGTGTTTGCAAGTCTGTCAGTGTGTGTCCACTGTCTGCATACACACACACACAAGCTGTGTGTCAGTGCCTCTGTTGATGCAACGTGGCCGGATCATCGCTTGCTCGCTGCTTCTGTCTGAGGTCCAAAAGCACAAAAACACTGGATTGAGCACACATGCTCGACAGTAGGGGGAAAAAAAGAAACCAAGACAGTTTTCCATCCAGTGTGCAAGAGAGGAGAGCCAGATGAACTAAATTACAGACCAGTTATGTAATGGCGTACAATATACTGTGGCTTTTGTGCACTCAGGAGATGTGTCCTGAGTGGGACAGAAACTCTGCTCTGGGAAGTTTGAGTTTTGAAAAACAGACTTTGTAAGGATTCAAAAGAAGTTATATGAGCCATAAAAGTTTCTGTCAACGTAATTTTTCTTCTTCTCCATCTGCAGAGTCCCAGACCTCTATTCTTGGTCCCACTCTCTGTCAACATGCTTCATCAAATAATTTAAAAGTTCGACTTTCCGTTTCACTGCTAAGCCGATGATTCAGCTGTATACTTGCCCTGAAACCAAACTGGTCCAAACTATTCAGACTTACTTCCTCTCCTGCAGTTAAATGAAACCAGGTCTGAAAGTGTCCAGTTTGGTCCTCCTCCACATATTTTTAATCAAACGTACAAGCAACCTGTACACCCTTTTTAAGGCAGGTCAATGCACAAATGAAAAATAACCTCTAACTTTGATCTACCACAGAAATCAAGCATATTCTCTTAAACTCAGAGCAATTCATGCTTTCATTTCCTCCTATAAGATTATAGTCAGATTAGTCCTTGTTGGTCCAGAATGCTGCTTCCAGGCTCCTGGTTACCAGGAAGTCAGAACATGTTAGCGCTATTCTGGCCTCAATTCATTGCCCCTCCTATATCTGATCCTTTTACCCCATATTTCACCTCCAGGAGTCTTCAGTCTTCTGACTTGGATGCACTGTTTTCTGTTTGTTATGCTTTTGACTGTGTTGATTTGTGATGTGGTTGTGTTCTTTTATTTTGATTCTATTACCTGAGAATTTTCTGTTGCAGCTCCACTGTTATCAGACCATGGCAGGAAAAATCAGTTTTTTATAAACAGGTTGATTTCTGAGCAGATAGAATATTCACGATGCATGACAAAATAACATAAAGCCATGTTAATTGGGTTTATGGTGTCTGGAGGAGGAGAAGGTTTATGAATGAGGAACATAAAATTAATTGAGTTGTGGTCCTAAAAAAAATACCTTTTTAGTAATGCAGAGCACCAGCAGGCCGACTGGGTGGGGATCCACCAGAGAATCTGTCAGCTGCTTATTCCCATTCGCACCCCAACGCTTTTCAGTCTCCAGAGGGCTGGCCAAATGGAGATGCAGCTCAAAAAGGTGAGGATGTACATATAACATATGGCATTAAGTCTTTTTATCAAGGGCGTTGCAAAGAAACAATCATCATCTCTTTGCTGAGGGTCGAATGTTTAGCTTCCAGATTTTAAATTTAGGCTGTTTATTTTTAGGAGTTTTTACTTTGTTTGATAGCAAATTGTCTGGAGAGAAAAAAGAGAAAGGAAACAAGGGCAGAGGAAGTGAGGTATTACATTCAACAAGGGTCCTCAGGCCAGGAATTGAACTTTGGACGTTGCAGCCATGTGCCATGAACCATTCAGCCGTTGGAGTTTTTAGTTTCCTATTTTCACACAAAGCAAGTTTGCAAATCAAACTGGAAGTCCACAGTAAAATTGAAGGATTAATTCACACACATTCCGAAAAATATATTATGTCGACAGTGCTCTCTTTCAGGTAACAGCAATGAAAAAAAAATACATTAAAACCCCAGAGGTGGAAAAAGTTCAATGGACACATTTAGAATAAATGGAGTTACAGGACATCTGGGCTGATGTTTTAGAGGGCGAGGAGGAAAAAGAGAGATTTCATTACAGCACTGTGCACTGCTGTAATATTTCTCACCTTCTTCCACCAACTGGAGGTTGTGATTTTCTGTGAATGACATAAATGCAGCATGCAGCACAAAAACATGTTTTTTTCCCCTTTGGACAAATTCCACAGAGGAAAATGTTGTTTTAAAGCTGAATGGTAGAAGTCGAACCTCTTTCATCATAGTGATTTCTGGTACTTTACCTGGTAATGTTTTGCTTCCAGAGCCAGTTCTATTTTATAAGGTATATTATCAGTATAACCTGATAATATATAAGCTAAAAGAAGTGGTTCACTCCTGTGAACTGTTACATAATATTGTTGAAAGTCTGATGAATAATGTAACTTACTAAAAGTAATCTGAAGTGTATCTTGGTTGTGGTTGTTTACTCAGGCCGAGCTGATTGAGATTTGCAGGTTGGCGGCTCAGAGGAAGTTATCTGAGAGAAAATACCAGGAGGCTCTGCCCGCCGCCCAGTTCTGCCTGCGCTGCTCCATCGACGTCCTCGGCCCCAGCACTGTCCAGCTGGTCCCGTCTTACCTGCTGCTGGCAAAGGCCAACATGGGTGAGGACGGAGCACAACATGTTTGTAGGACCACGCCCTAAACAACTGAAATCTATGTAAAGGATGTAGAGGAAAGATGAGTGGGTGTTGAGGTACAGATTTGGCTGAGTGAGAGTGTTCTGAAGACTGGGCAGGGGGGGGCGTCAGTGTGGAGGTTTTGTCTAAGGCCTCATTTTAACAGAGCTAATCATTGGTCGTGAAAGCCGGTTGACCAGGTAGGCTTGTCGTGCAGGTGTGGTTGAAACGTGGCCCTAAGTCAACTTAGTGTGTGTGTGTGTGTGTGTGCATCTCCAGGTTTGGGTAAACTATCCCTGGTGGCAGAGCTCCTGTCCCAGGCAGAGTGGCTGGTGTTGAAGAGTCCTTCTTGTGGTCACGCAGTCCAGCAGCAGCTGCACAGGAGCCTGGGCCACCTCCACACGGCCACTGGAAACCTGGAGGCTGCTCTACTTAACTTTGCAAATGATGTATGTGTCATGAGTAGCACACTTACCAGAAATGAGTTCAGCGCATGAAGCATCTTCAAAATAAATGTATTGATATTGTGAAGAGCAGAATGAATGGAAAGTGAATCCCCAGTGGCCTGTGAGTTAAAGTCTCTGATGTTTTCAGGTTTACTTTTCCAGTGAGGAGTATGGTCTGGATAGCACCGTCACCTCTGATGGCTTCTTTCTCATGGCTGACGTGTTTGCCAAACAGGGGAGGATTTCCATTACACGTTCGCTGTACTCTACGGTAAAATAAAACAGTTATGGTGTAATTGCTGATGTGACCTCATGTAGTTTTTACCTCCGCAAAGGAGGTTGTCTTATCTACATTTGCAGGATTACGCAAAAACTACACAACTGATTTCAATTAAATTTACTGGAGGGGACGGGCATGAGCCAAGGAAAAAACACATTCGATTTTGGTGTGGAGTCAGATCAGGGCCGGATCCAGGAGCTTATTTCTATTTCTTCATCATTGACAGATTTTGTTTTAACATGTTCTTGATTTCTAAGAAAATAAGTAATAACTTGATGAAAGAAAAGTGTGCGCAATTCGGTGCAGATCCAAAGAACAATATGGACCTAGTGAATTTATATGTGGGTTGAGAAGGGGCCTTAAAGGAGGTATGCACTCTACTGACTTTCTTCTTTTGCTCATTTTATAGGTGGCACATACTTGGCACCGCCAACTGTCCAAACTCCTCAACACCCACATCCAAAGTGTCCAAAATCCTGACGTGATGTTGGAGCCCGCTTATGGTGCGTCTTGTTGCACCAAATAAATATAGATACAATACAAAATATACAAAGCTATTAAAACCATATATATATATTTATTTACTTTATTTACTGTACTATTGAACATCAACGCAGAAACAGAAAATGACATCACCAATCAATTACTTGCTCCACCTACTAAACTGCAAAGACCTCCATCGGTGTATCATTGAAAAAAAAAAATAAGGTCACCGCTGCTATATTTAGCTGAGCTGTCTTGCTGTGCAATCCGAAAGCTAAACCTCAGATTTACCCTAGCATGCTAAGAGCTGACTAGAGACCACAGCTGAAACATCTCTGGCTGCGCAGCATCCGCACCACTACCCTGTATCGCAGCTGCTGCCCTACATATGATGCTAAGCCTGTTAACCACAGTGTTTTCCCAGGCTTCCTGGGATATGAGGTGGGGTGACCGTTGGGGCAGATTACACAAAATGTACAGAGGAAATAGATCTACATTTTGTTGACCTACATAAACCTCGTTCAACCTCGTACTGTAAAAGCTCATTTCCATCTTTGCTGGTGCCCCCTTACTTTGAATCAGACAAAGGTCGACAAGCTGAGGTGGACGAGATGTTGAGAAGGATGTTGGAATTTGAACAGGACGACTCCAGAAAAGACTCGGCCCAGGTTGCCCTGGTGGCCCACTGCCTCGCCATGCTGTGGTTTCTGGAGGGAGACAACCCCAAGGTGAGTCACCTGATGAGGTCACCAGACACTAAAAGGCTCAGTTTGACTCTGTGACACAATTCCCCACTTCCGCCTCATGCACCGTCTTTGGAACTCCATCTCAAAATGAGATTAGCTCTAATTGGTAAAGCCGTAAAGGTGAGGTGGGATTTAGTGGGTGTTGACGTCTTGAATGCCTAATGCCACCGGAGGCTATTGCACCTTTTTCAGTGTGGGATCATGAGCGGGCGTCTAAAAAGACTGAGGCAGGTACAGTGTAGTGAATGTATCAGAACCACTGACTGTACAAGAAGCTCTGAATCGGAGGTGATCACCACAGAAACCTTTAGATCTTATGCTCCCTTGTGAAAAAACACAAAACTAAATACAACTCTACACTGTGTTTATGTGTTTGAATGGTTCACATGCTGTTTTTATCTGGGGGTTTTGTGGGGGTTTTTTGAGGCTGGATGAAATATAATTCCAATTTCACAGCTACCACAATGCTCCAAAAGTACTGTGAAAAAGCTGAACATAATAAGTCTTTTATTAATAAAATGGTAACTTTTCTCTGAGGCCCAACTATTCAGCCATGTGGGCCTTTGTGCCAAGCAGAGCCAAAATAACGCAGCCACCTCCAGCTGTTATAGATTCTCTGAATGGCAAAAATGGCAGCGGTAGGGAACAGGAGCCAGGGCTCATAAAGCATAGATGACACCTAAATTAACAAACCACTTCAGCTGACTGAAGTATCTTTCATCTCCTCAGGAAAATTCAGTTTTGGGCTTGCCTTCATACAGAAGAGTCAGTTCACAAAGTGTGCGACCCGCAGCCTCAAGTTGACTTAGACTCTGACTGATTCTAAAGTTAAAAAGAGCTCAGCGTGGATTTGGAATGACCATTCTGCTTCTTCTTTGTACTGGTGCATGATGGTATTTTGGTTTTAGTTGAGCCCTTTTCTTGTCCATACCAGGGCTCCATTGTGGGTTACAGCACTGTGCAGGACTGTAAAGAACGTAGTCTTGTTATTATTGACGGAATACTGGTTTAATTCCTTGACTTTTTTCATGGCGCTTCAGGGTCCAGGGGGAAGCATTAAATAACAGCCTGTGGTTTAGTGTATCAGCCTTGTATTCACCACTGGAGGAGCTGTGGGTAGAGAGAGGGAGAGAGAGAAACACACAAGCACTTGAGTAACACATATACAACACTGTTTCCCACCTGTTTTTAAAACCAAGAGAAACTGCAGGAATTCCAAATATGCTGCAGCAAATCCCAAGAATTCCACATTGAGCTGTGGCACGACTCCATCCGAGCATACAACAGTATCAAACCATGCATTTGTGTCCTTAGCTTCTTTCAGTCATACACGAGAAGGTCAGCGTAATATCCCGGGCAGATCAGCTCGTCGGAAGGAAAGAAGCGAGATAAATTAATCTGACCGGGTTGCAGTTCAGTTTTCAGTAATATTATTATATAAGTCAGCTTTACTCTCCCCCCCGAGACTCTGACTGCTGCTGCAGCTGCTGTGTTTTGTTTCCGTTTGTGTTTGTGTGCCAGGCCCTGGGATTTGGCAGCATGGCCCTGCAGGCCAGCCAGCTGATACCAAACCACGACCTGACAGAGGCCATCCAGAGCCTGGTGCAGCTGGTGCAGAGTTTGCAGACAGAACTGGATCCCGGTTCTGGCTTGTCAACGCACCTTTCACCTGAAGATCAGCTCCACCAGGACCGTCCTTTATTTCAGCCATGAAGCATCAAACCGAGTAGCTGTTAACACATAAAACGTAAATGAGTACAGTGATGTCATTTAAGATTTATCTGTATGTACTTAATTAAAACTATTAGGGATCATAGGGTATCTCTAATGAAATGAAACCAATTTGTGATATGGAAATGCTTGATAAAAAGTAATGAAAGGAGAAAGAGACATGATTTATCAGTTTTTGAATAATGACTCATCTTTATTTTAATCTAAAAAAAGAGGGATATATATTTACAGCATTTTGCACATCTGTCAATGACATGATTTTGGGATCCATTTTGTAACACTGTCAGAATGATACAGAGAATAATGGTGAGGGCATTCGCTGAGACCGTTTTGTAATGCAATGCTTTTTGTTCATCTTAGCAGCTCAGGACCTCTTCATCAGTTCACCAGTTGCAGATGAAAGATTTTTAATATCTATGTGTCATCAACAGAGAGCTGCATGATTTCAGTGAAGCATAAACATTGGATTTTCCTCCTGCAAATAAAAGCATATTGTAAACCTCAGGTTTTCAAAACACATTGACATAAAATGTACCTGATGATTGCCATGAAATCCAACATATTATATACAATTCTGAAACATTTACTCTTTATATCAAAACAAAGAATTTTAAAATCATCTCACTACAAGTGTTATTAGTACTGAATTATACAACAAAATTCATATTTTTGGCATTCAGATTCATTTTCATGTGTTGTGAGGCAACAAAACACAGAAACACTTGGATCTCCTCATATTCCCTTTTTAATTTTTTGAGCCAAATATACATTAGCAGCAGTTTGGAGTTAAATAGCAACCTTGTGCTCTGGTGTGTTGTCATACACAGTGACTAGTCCAGATGTCCCTACATATTCATTCCAGGCTGGCCGAGCACCACACAGGCAAATACACTCTTGGTAACTCCAGGATTTACACACATTTCTCGTTTCCGTGTCGCTACCATGTGGTGCCCCCATTTCTTTCAATAGCTTCCATGCCTTGGATCCACTTCATCACGGCCACTGAGGTATAGAAAGAAACCCTCATGAGCTGGGAGCCTGACTCAATAATGGTCCTCAAATCAATGTTCCCAAAGGAAACCAGTCAATGAAAAGGCATTTTGAAAGTGGTTCGGGCACAGTTCAAAGAACCTTCAGTGGGTAGATGTGTTCTGTCTACATGTGGATGATGTATAAAATACATATTCAAATGTGTGAGAGAGAAATGAGCATGTTGTCCGTTCTCATGGCTGGCTTTTCTCAAAGAGATGATATGAGATCTTTGTTTTACACTTGTACACAAAGTGGAATGATACACAAAGAGGGACACTTAAAAAAAAGGGGGACGACAACAACTGAATAGAAACTCGGATGTTGGGATGAGACTTAGTGATCAAGCTCACCGGCCCCTGCACGTCAGAGAGTTGACATCAGCAGATTTCACAGTTTCTTTGTCAGACACTTTGATTATATAGATAGTGGACAACATCACAGTAGTGTAAAAAGATGTTATTCTAGCAGTGGAGCCACTGTGATCACTTGACAGCAGACTTAACTAAAAGCTGCTTTTCCTGTTGTCTGGTAGGTTTCGATTTAGCCCCCTCAAGCAGGCCTCCTTTTTAGATTCCAGACAGTTAGTAGATTGGGCTACAAAGAAGAGAAATAAAATCAAGCTTCACAGCGGTTTCACTTTATTGAGACAATGTTAGTGCACACAAACCACTTTTTTTCTTTAAAAATACCATAAATTAGGAAGAAAACAAGGAACAATATAAAACAAGCAGGGAAAAAAGTGCATGTTAACCATGGTATACACCACATTGTCTTATACTGTAGTTTACAACCTTTTCTTCATTGCTGTTTGTGTGTCTTTTTGTCTGCCTGTAGGTGTGTTTTGTTTCTGATATGTGTCGAGCTTGGATGGATCTGTCGTGCCTTTGGGGGTCAGGGGTGAGATCCGGGCTGCTTCCCTGAGTTGTGTTGAAAAGAAAGGGTTACAAGCCAAAAACGTGGACGTTACTATGTGGCACAGTTTACAGTTGGTTTGCATTTGTGCTTTTGATCAGATCTGTAAATTATTCTCAGTGAACGGCAGTTACCCCGGAGAACCCTGCCTCGGTGTTGATATGTCAGAGGACGCATAGGAGGTAAATCAAGAAGAACAGAAAACCATAAGCAGTAAACTCTTGGCCACTGAAATCCCTGTTTTTATTGTTTAGTTTTTTTTCCCTAAGGAAAGAAAAAGTAACATTCTATTCAAAGAGACAGCAAAAATATATTCAATTTTTTATTTCCACCATCCCAAAAAAATATGTCATGCCAACATATTTTATGGTTTATGATTTATATTTTTTTCTATCAAAATAAAGACAAAACTAAGTAAAAACAATAAAAGTAAAATCTACAGATCATGACTGAGAAATCACATCTAACCAAATCCAGAAATCTTAGCACCAACTTTGAATTTTATCCTCTCAGCGTTCCAGGTCTGTACAAACACGTTTGTCCACAAAAGCTTATGAAATGTTCTTCAACTATTTCAGCCATTCCAGTTTCATCAGCTGAATTCTAGCATGCACTGAAGTTAATTCACTACCTAAGTATTTACAAAAAGCTACAAAGCAATAAAAAAATAATACACCACTACCTTTGTAGTTCTTAGAAATAAAGTGAGGGAACAGCTGGTAAATCAGGGGCCATTTGAAAACCACAAGGATCCTGGCTGATATGTACTGTATGTTTGAATATCAGTCGTTCTATGGCAGTGAACAGTCACTGTTTTTGAGGTATATTTTGCTTGCAGGTGTAGAAGCAGGTTTCAAAACTCTGTCTCCTGTTTCCTAAAAATTTGTCGTCTGAGTGAGAACATAAAAATGCATCTGTTTATCATAAAGTGCTAGACATTGAATGGATTTTAAAAGGCAGCGACAGACTGCTGCTGCAGGTAAGGCTAATCAAGCAAGCTATCAAGTAATGTAAAATCAAAAAATTAAAAATCGAGTAATGGTGCTCGATCGCTCCAGGTTGTGACTCTAAAAACAGAACTGCTATTCGATAATTTCTACTACCTTGCAAAGATTCGGGCAGTTTCATATTAGCATTAGCCTGCTTCATTCACAATGAAAAGAGAACTAATGGATGGACACCCTGTTAGCACCCAGGAGGACTATTGGTCTGTAAACTGGGTTATTAATATTCTTATTTACGCTAAAAAGGTAAAAAATGCAAACACATCATCAGCTTCTTATTCACTGTCAATGTAGCAGCTCCAACTACATTTTCAATACCAGTCATTTAAAACCGGGATTTAATGGAATTTTAACAGTAGATTTATTTATGTGACCTTACTGTTAAGGCAGTTTCACTGTTTTTCAAATAAACATGACAATGATTGATTGGAATCTTAACCTGGTAAAAATGTTTATACATTCTGGTTTAGTTGGATATGCAACATATGACATATATGATGTAGTGATGGGTGAATTCATCTCTCTCATTCAGATTATTATGAATTATTATTATGAATTATGAATATTATGAATAGCAGTAACTTTAACATGAATTTCCTTATCTTCGGGTACGTTGACTTGACAGGAGCACAACGTTGCTACATTGGAACTGACAGTATAATGTGCCGACCACAAGGAGCTAACCACTTAGAAAAAAAAAAATAACACTTCATTTTGCCTCCAATCCACCAAACCTGACTACAGTCACAGCACGAAAAGCATTTTTTTTATGTCAACATAAATTCTCCTTATAATAATGTTACTGAATTGTGAGGATTAAAAACACGGCATGTGTATGCCTTTATTATGGGAATCCCACACCCACCCAAAAACCTTCACCCTCGCTATTCTTCAAAGCAAAAACTAGAAGAGTCATTTAGCAGTTATCTCGAGTACTATATCTCACCACCATGCTGCAGTGTAAGCTAGGTTTGTTTTGTGGGGTTTGCAGTTTGGGAGTAGAGGTGCAAAGACAGGAGAGTCAGGGGAGCAGCCTCAGATCTTTGCTTTTGTTGAAGGGAGTTTTCAGGAGAAGGCTCGTGTTTTGGTTTGTTTGTGTTTCTCTTGTGTCTGAACATGTGTTCTGTTTTATTGTGTTCTAGGTTTGCATTTAACATCCTATGTTTTAATCGTTTTTTTTGGACTGATTTGTGTTCAGGAATGTCAGTTGCCGTGCATACAGTTGTGTGTATGCGTGTTTTTAATGTGTATTTGTGGTGTTGGTGTGTGCATGAAGCCGCTTGAATCTCACTCAGTCAATAACTTGATCTCATTGGCGAGGAGGGTGTTGAAGTTGTAGGCTGGATCAGGGAGGCCGGGAAGATCAGCCAAGGTGGGGCCTGTGGACTGGCGGGGCGAGGACTGGGAGGGCTCAGCCAGCTCCGGGTCGCTCTCACTGGAAGTAGAACCCACGCTCATGTTGCAGACGGCCTCAGGCAGCGAGCCGCCGCCAGCAGGCACAGGGCACACCTCAGGCTCGCTGCTGGTCTCACTGGTGCTTGACACGACAGACAGCAAGGACATCTTACGGGTGAGCCGGCTGGGGAGCATCGACAGGGCGAAGTCGGCAACGATGCCTGCCACATCCATGCCGCAGGCCTGGTCGAAGGCGATGAAGCCCACGTTGGCGTTGGCCTCGCAGACCACAAACGAGCCGTCGTTCAATTGCAGCAGGTCAATGCCACACACATCCATGCCCAGGATGTTGGACACCTCTATGGCTAGCTGCTTTCCCTGCTCGCTCAGTGGGCACATCATACCTACACCACCTAACAATGGAGAGAGAGAAAGACTGAGTACCTACCACTGCTTCATTCACTTCACATTGTGTGTGAGTTTTATCCAGATTGTTTTAAAAAAATATTTTCAAATATTTAGCAGAATTACATGGAAATTAAATGCCACATTAATCCACTCAGAGTCAATGTAAGTGCCAACATGACCTGTTACATAAAAGCAGAATAATCTGATGACTGATGTCCTAAATATGTCACAGCACATTACAGCCTCAACTAGACCAAAACTGCTTGTGCTCTGACAAAAACAATCAGTCACATCACTGAGGACTGCTGTGTTACTGGATGTCTCCGGGGGTAAATCAGGATAAACCGATCTGGAATGGTTTCTCAAAAAATGATTTTTGGAGCAGAGGGAGAATTAGACTTTAAATAAACACGAATAGGTGCCATGGTAACTGTTAAGTAATGTCCTCATACACAGGATTGGAGTTTAGTGACCCCTTGTATGTGGCATACATAGAGGGGCTGTACAAAATACTGTGTGGTTTGTGGTATTTAAGTAGTGAATAAATATCCATTGTTTTTAGTTTTAAAAAAACTGATTTCACTTTGTGGAAGGAAACTGCTTAAAAACATCCCCTTCTCCAGATCTTAAGAATAACCAGAGCAGTTTTAGTTCTCCAAAAACAGTGAAGCTATTCAACCACACAAATAGACACAACACTTAAGAATGAGAGACTGAGCTAAAGACAGATCCAAATAATCAGGACATTTAAAGGCAAACATAAGAACTGTTAACAGTGCAGCAGCCATGATGGGTGCAAGTGCAGTAATGTAAAATTTGAATCTGTGTGTGATAGTGTTCAATAGTTTGGTAATTTACTGTCATCACTGCCTCTCAAGCGTCTGCCTACCCAGGGAGCAGTTGCTCTGCATTCGACCATCAGTGGAGCAGCGTAGCATTGAGCCGATGACACGACCGCCCACCAGGACCACCCTCACGTCACGGCCGTGCGACTCCTTGACGTACTCCTGAAACAGGTAGGGGGTGTCATGGCGGATCAAGTGGCACAGGTCTGTCAGGTGGTGTTTGTCCCGTGCCAGGAACACTGCCTTCCCTGGGAGTAGGAAGGAAACATGGGATGAGGGAAAGAAGGGAAGAAGAGACAGTTGTCAGGCCGTCAGCTGTTAACATCAACATGAAGACAAGGTGCTTGCAGGGTCTGCACATTTGTGTAATATTACTTAAGGCTCGATTACTTCCTTATAGTCTTTCCTGACAAGTAGCTGCTTTTGCTGACCCAGTCTCATGCCAGTTCCCATTTCTCATATTATGGACAAGACACAAGAGGCAACAACTTTGGCAGGCACAAAATTGCTTCTCACAGAGGGTAGAAGTTTTAATTAGCACTGCTCGGCTCTGTCTCCTGGCTGTCAAGACCTATGACCCCTGTTCCAGCAGCACGGAAAATCATGTGATTGTTGTGTGTACGTGCAAATAATGTGTGGCTCACAAATCTGAACGAGATGACGAAGCAATCCCTCATTTACATCTTTAATAGAGTGGACAGCGGGGGAGCACGTACCACTTTGCAAATCGAAACCAAGAAAAGCAGGGACTCATGCTTTTGTGACTCACGGAGACATATGATCATTACAAGTTTCTGCTGATGAACTATGCACCCAGAAGCTTACACCATGTTGAGGAGTACTGCATTTCACATCGCAACTGTGCTGAGAGAGTAAAAGAGAAATCTGGCGAAGACCTTTTAATACATAAGATTATGAAGTAAGCCATTTATATTAACATACAAGCCTTTTTTGTTTTTTCAGGAAAGGAAGGCAAGCTGGACTTCAGCCAAAGTCAACGGTCAACCACAGAGGGAAAGAAAGCAACCCTTGAGAACTCCATAGAAAAGTGTCGTGTTGGTGGCTGACCAACGGCTGCTTTCCCTAACAATGTGTTGTGATGGCTGCCTGAGCCATGGTCCTTTGTTATTGATTCACACAATGGCCGAGTCAGTCAAGTGTCGATAACTATGAATAGCAAAAGGGCTAATGGGTCAGCAGACACTGGGGCAGATCTCTAGGAAGCGCAACTTTAATGGTGAGACTGAAACTTCCCACACAAGACCCATGTGAATTGAGGCTAGATGGGAAACTCTGGTCAGTTTGTAAACTCGAAACAAAAATGATTAACCCAGCAGCAATTCCATGAGTATTAACAACCTTTTATTGCAACACCACAGCTCTAATCATTTAACACTCTGTCAATGAATTCCATGTAAGGGTGGACTGAGCTGCCACTAGTGGTCTGTAGGGTACAGATTGTTTGAGTTGGGGGTGTAGTAAAGAAATGGACTTGCTGGTCCTACCTCTGTGGCCACGTGCATTCTTCACCACCACCGGATAGCCCAGTGGCTCAGCTTCGTCAATCATCTTGCGGAAGTTGTCATGCCCTCCTGGGAAATGGTCACGCACACACACAAAGATGAAAAACAGACACATGCAAAGATGAAAATTATATTACAATTTGTATCGCGGGATGTGGGGAGGATCTGTAGAACACTGCTAACAAGAATGACTCAAAACAGCAAGGGTGTAGGAGTGCTGTCCTGAGCTTTTACTTATTTTGCTGCATTATTCATGAGATTGGAGCTGAGCATTGTCACTGGAGAACGCATTAACGTGAAGCAGTTGACCATATCTGACACTGAGTCATAACAGCAGCTTGTAGCAACAGATGTGCTTAAGCATTTTCCACTTTGGCTCGCAGGGTGATTGAAAAAATAAAAAACTTCTTTCCTCTTCTTTTCTCCACCCCCTATCGCTCTCTCAGTTTGCCTGTCTGGTGTTATCTGGTAACAGATGTGGACGTCTTCCCCTTGCAGTGGGGTGATTGAGGACAAGGAGAGGGCAGAGACCATATGTGAGTCCCACTACGTCACAAGCTGCTAAGGCGTCTAAACCAGAGGATGGAGGCAATTGTATTTTGAAAAATCATGAGGCATGGGGTGGGGCTTTGGAAGGGGGGTGTTACATAAGTCCTACAGCTGCTCTGCATGCAGCGCCTGGCCTACTGTGCAGAGCGACGAATGGAATGTAGGCCAAACACCCCTCTCCACATTCTCTCTTTCATTCTTCCTTTCTCCCTGTCTGCATCCTTCTCTTTCTGCTTTCCCCAAACACCACAGAGCTGGGGATTTGTAGAAAACAGAGAGAAATGTGTGATGATGTGTGTCAGCTTTTTGTTTTGCTCTAATACGTGAACAAAGTGCAACAAATAAAAACAGCAGTCTGGCTTGTGTTGTGGGGGGGGGGCGTATCCTTACATATCCTGCCTTTGTAAACAGTTGGTAAAAAAAACAGTTGTGTTGCAGAACTTGTGAATTGCTGGTGGTAAAGTGTCTATATTGACTCTCTCTCTCTCTCTGTTGTTTTAGTAATTGCAGTAAAGATAGTCTCACTGATGTCTTATTAATCTGTGTTTTACAGGCACATGTGAACTGAGGCCTATGATATAACTAATGTGATTGAATGGTAAACATTCTTGACATTGTAGTGCTGGTGTTAAATGGGAAGATTCATTTGACTATAGAGGACATGTGTTCCCTTACTTTTTGTTTAGTCATGTTTATAGACAATATTAATATGGATTTTGTTTCAGACAAACTACAGCTTGTGTTTTACTTAATCTCACTAGAGGGTTAAGACTTGGTTTTAGGGTTAGGGTAAGAATTAGGTTTAGGTTAGGCATTTAGTCGTGATGGTTAAGGTTAGGGTAAGGGTCTAGGGAATGCTTTATGCCAATGAGTGTCCTCACTAAGATAGAAGTACAATTGTGTGTGTGTGTGTGTGTGTGTGTGTGTGTGTGTGTGTTTGAGACAATGAAAAGTGGGCGTCAAGTCCAGCCCATGCAAGTATTGGTCAAGTGCAGGTCAAGTCCTGTACTTTCAGTCCACACACTGGGAAGTCGCTGCATTAATAAAGTTAGTTACATTCCACATTCATCGTCTAACTCGCTGATTAATATCATGGAGCAGCACAGCCTCAGATATCTTAGCAACAGCAACACAGTGCCACCAAAACACATCAACACAGTGGCAAGAAAAAAAACACAACTTGCTGATTTACCGTAGGAGAAGGTGTCAGGAAGAGGCACCCCGTGGCCGGCCAGCTCCTGAAAGGTCCAGAACTTGTTGACACAGTTGAGTATAGCCTGGGGCCGGTTGATCAGCCGACAGCCCATCTTCTCCAGGTGGCGCAGCACAGTGATATCGCTGTCTGACTGCACCCAGGGCGTGGGCACCCGTACCACCACCACTTGTGGATAAGACGTCACCAATTCCTGCTCCACTCGCAGACCTGCAGGGTGAGAGGGGAGTCGGGGAATGGAAGGGAAAAAGAGATAGAGCACCATGAGGCAAAAATCCATAATTTGTTAGCAATAATCACTTCTCAGCATGTGGTCAAACTAATTCAAAAAGAAGTTCTCTAGGTTTTTTAATACAACTGTGAGCCGCTGAACATAGCATTTTACATTGTATCCCTAAAGTCATATTTAGAAAGGCTGGAAACATTGGGAAAATGGTTGGTGAGATTCTGAATCCATCATCAACTGGTGGAAAAGTTTACTCCTCTGGTCGGGACTGTTTGTGGACATTGCTGCAGTCGTCACCACACAGCCCTGACTGAGAGCTGGCCAGGTTACAGCACTGGGCAGAGGCAGCCGGCTCCAAGGCCTGTACTCCCCTGCAGTGATGCCAGCTCCTCTGCATTTTGGGCCAACACGCTCTTCCTCTCCTGACTGAGAGTGACCTATCGTTGCTGATATACTGACACGATACACTACTTTGTCTAAATGTAGGCCAGTGGGATGAAGAGAGATGTCGGAAACTCCCAAGGTTGCACAATTCGTATTTAACAACAGGGAGAGAAGCATGGTTAGAAAAACACTATACACATTATTATTTTAGGTCTTTAAAGAAATTCTGTAGCTACAATCTAGTCCACTATTCTTAGATTAAATAGCAATATTTTTTCATCCTGCCGCAATGAAAAATCATTGTATGCTATTCAATGTTATCTGAAATACATGGTGCTTTGTTTTATTCAAAGTCAAAAGGTCATTTGACTCTGTTCACACCTGCTCACCACTGGCATTAATGTGTCTTGGGTGATCTGAACACAAGTGGACAGCTCTAAAAACAGGTGTGAATGCAATCATGATGAATTGAGGGCGTATTAAGATCCGAATGTACCGAAATGTATCCTGGCCCAAACAGCCTGAGATCATTTTCCCATTCAAAAGACTTTAACCCCATGTGCTTATACTGTTTATCATGAGTGTGTCAAACATCTTTGGTGATAAGGTTTGCCTGGAACACACCAAAGAATAGACCTAGTCTATGTACCTTTATATGCTTTCTTTTCTTCTTTGGCAGACTAGGTACAAGAAGGGCCTTACTGCCTCCAGCCGGCCAAAATAACGACAAATGACGCATATGTGTATTTGTGACATTCATGACAGGTCACTCAAGACACTTCACTTTTGTTACATTTAGGTCTGACGAATTTCCAGCTGTTGAATCAGCTTCTAAAAGCGCAGCAGCAGGGTATCAGCTCTGAAACTGGTGGTAAATGCAACACGATTGAGTGCAGTTAAAGTCTGACCTTTATAATGCCACAAATGCCTATAGAGCAGGCAAGCTTATATAAGTTTATACAAATCGACAACTCCCATGAGCACGCCCATGCAGATTGTTTGTGAATTGTCATGTGATATGCATTTTCAGGTGAGTTAATATAGATGGAGATCATCTCTAATATGGAGCTCAAATGCTCACCTGGAGCTGAGCACATCTGAATAGGTTACTGATCAGTGGAAAACAGAGGAGGCTTGACGAAGAGATGATTGTGCTTAAGATGGAGAGAATAAGGTTTGTTTGATATAAGACAACTTTTCAACAAGATGCAAACTTGTCATCATTCACTGGCTATCTCCAGTCTCTGTCAGTGGCTCTCTGGATTTACAGAACAGAACAAGATTTTGAGATAACAGAATATTGGCTTGATATTGGCCAAAACACAGATGGCAAAGTCAGTAGCAATAGTTGAGGATTTGGCAGCAATTTACTGCTGTCTGGTGTTACTTTGTCATCCTGGATGAGAAGAGGAAACAGAGACACTTGGAGATTTTTGAGCAGGCGATGCGACTCAACAGCTCATCTCAACAGGCTGGGGGAAAAAAACCTAAGTGTGGGTGTGCACATGCACTGTAAAGAGACATGGTACAGCACTTCACCTACATCATGACCTGAATATCAGCCATCTTAGAATCTGCAGATTCACAGCAGTTACAGTGCCACTGGCTGAGACCATCAGAGGTCATGAGAAGCTCGGTGGCTGCTGCATACATTATAGCAAAAGATATCGATAGCATCTTAGTGCACACTCTATTGGTCGGATCAACACTTTATTTTAGGGTCGTTCTGTGCTCGGATGGTAGAGGGGGGAACAAGAGACAGGCAGCAGGCAGAAAAGGTCAGAGATGTCTCGTTACTGCAACACGGAAGATGGGAGGGAGGGGGGAACAGTAGCCATGAAAAGCCTGCCACCTCCTTCTTTCCCTCTTCCTCCAGTATAGAAGCAGGAAGATTCACTGTCTCTCTCTCTCCCTCTCTCCCTACCCCTATTCAACATTCTCACACTGCTCTGATTGTGCAGTCACTGAGAACACTGTGAGTGGTGTTACAGTGGGAAGTGTCAGGGGATGTGGTCTCATGGTTTTTGACAGACAGTATTCGCTGTTCACGGTGCTCGTCGCATCTCCAGGGGAACCAAACAGAGACCAATGAGGCAGCCAGATGAATCAGTCCTATTCATCTGTGCAAGTGTTCGTGTGCACTGCACTGTCCGTCATGTGACCGCTGCAAAAACACTCAGAAACCCTAGTGACCGTTTGGGTGTATAACAAAGGAAGCATGGGTTTTTGTGGGACAATGTGCAAATCTGTTGTGGGAGTGATCCGTATTTAAATATAACTCAAATTCCTCTTCTTACCTCCACGACAGGCTGTCACCTTTTCATGCTTCAATTCACTGTATATGTCCATGCCATTTTCAATCTGCCTGACAAAGCTAACAAGCATAACAAGCATTCTGTGCATACCGCTGCCACGTCAAAGCAGGCAATGCCGACAAACGCTGTGCCAATGTTTCGCTGGTCGGTTTTGCCAGCCCCACATGCAGTCTCAGTCTGGGTATCCTCTCTAAATTAGCCTGATGAGGGGGAGCAGGTTTCTCTGAGTTAGGTTTTAGAGTAACAATGTCGTCAATGGTCTATTTGCATATATGTGTCATCAATACACAAATCAGACAATAACATATACTGTAGACCTACTGTGAGGCCAGGCAAAAAAATCTTTTGTTCAGAGCACAGAGACCATGTTGACCCGCATGTCCCCTGTGACTTCGCCTGCACGCGGGGTAGCTGCTAGCTACATTGGCACTGACAGTACTTGAACTAACAGAGGCAGACAGGACGTATCACGAGACCACAAGAATATTTGGCAACGGTTTAATGGCCTGTGAAGAAAACTCAACAACACGTGTCAACTTTCCCAGATAAAATAGTTCAGATTCATTCCTTTAATTCTGAGTTATCTTTTATCAGTGCGCTTTAGGGTTGGGAAGTGTTTCAGCATTACTGTGTACATGGTCCAGATGAAATCTAGCATAGTCATTTGATGACAGCAAACACTCCTATATCGATTAAGAAAATAAAACCTTGATAAAAGTATGAAACTTGATTTTTTGATCAGTTTGCATTTAACCATCAGTTTGCATGTACATTCATTTAGTGATGAATCAATATTAACACAAAATTACTCCAATATACCTGATAATAAAGTCACATATATGCAAATAGTATAGTCAATCTGCATGTAGGGAATAGAGGAATATGTTCTTGGGTACATTGGTACAGTAACACTATACACTTTTGCCAAACCTTGCTTTTTCAATATTTTTGACATGATGTTGACGGCCCCATCGCACAAAACAATACACCACCGATGTTTTAGGGGTGTGCCAGTCAATATTGCCGTCATTTGAAATAGCTTCCTGCCTAGTTGACACAACTATGTTTGTTTCCTTGTGTGGACTATACGGCACAAAATTGTTGAGAGCCAATATACAATTTGTGCAAGCGCCTTTCATAACTAGAGGGAAAAGAAAGCACTGTGAGGCTACTTGGCAAAAACAACAACATTTAAAATACCCATGTTCCAGACAGCATGTGACAACCTGAAAATTAGATACCACTGGTTAATTAACAAATTAGCTGTTTTCTTGGTAGCGCTGACTTGTGCCAGCAAGCCACGTCAGGAAATAGTACTGTGCACTTCTTTTATTATATTTTGCGACAAAGGTATTGGGATAAGCAGCAACAGTGGGATGTATCCAAGTTGTGACTGCAGTCAAATTCCATCAAATGCCCCTTATTTTGTCCTTTTTTTAACCACCTGTAACAGTTAATAACTCAACTCCAGACAAAAGCTTATAGTTGTAAATGAAGTTAAGAGCTCTGCCACACTGCTGATCATCATATAGTCTTTTTTCTCAAACAATGGGGAGTCTATGCTTCATAAATAACTAAAGGACTGGCATTAAAGCTACAGTACCAACACACCAATGCCACGTATCATGGGGCTGATACACACTCACATGTCTGGCAGTAAATTAAGATGAGCCCACATCAATGTTCCATCTCTCCTTCACTGACACAGACGCGTGGCATTTATCATCTTTGGGGTGAACGTGTGCCCAGTGGCACGCACAGGGTTCACAAAGGATTGTGACATCAATTCAAATCCGGTCTCTGTTTTAACATCTTACAGAAGGAGTCATGGGATGTGAAATGCCTTCAGCTAGCAGGGTTTGACTGTCTTATGTGAGGGGCCATCATTGGTCATTAAAACGTGATGGTGTGTGTGCGTGTACTTGTAAGCATCCATGTCTTCTCCTGAGGACAGACTGAACCCAGTAACTTCAGTGTGAAACGTGGACCTCAACTTGACTTGAGTACACACAAATAAGCCAAAAGAACAAGAAACCATTGAAATAGTTAGCTGTAAAGATGCTATCAGTTTCAGAATTGTGATTGCATCGTGACCTACCTACCTACATATTTCAGGGTGTTAACTTGTTACATTTAAGACTTTTTAAGACTGTTCATCAGTGCGTTTCAGCTGCATTATCTGTAACACCATGTCAGGTCCAAAAAAGTATGAATGAGGGCCAGAATGTCTTGCAAAGTAGATTAATTTATTCAGGTGAACGTGACTACACAGAGCTGTGTGAACACAGGAGAAATGTGTGTATACACACAAGGGCTGGGCTAAATTAATATGAGCTTGTCTCCTTTGGCTGCAATCTCCTCCTAAATGCTCTTGGGCTCAGATAATTTTCCTTGTTTTTATATGACCAATGTTTAGCTTCTGAGGGTTCTCTGCTTGTTGGTGTCGATCTAAACAATGGACTCTGGAGGTAGGTTACCAGAGTTGCAGGATTTAACAGTGTTAGTGCAGAGTGGATCACACTGGGGCTGGACTGCAGTGATGCACCCTATGTGAACACAATTGGGTAATGGCAGGTGTTTGCTGGTGGCTCTCTTAAAACTCTAATGCCTTTGGACGCAAAATCCACATTATTGGAATTTTATACTGTTTTAAGAAAAGTGGAAACCCTGTTATTTTGGTTGAGGATGATAATGTACCATCTGCAACAAGTTGAAATCTTATCTAGGTCTGTATCAGCCCCCTTCATATCCATTGCTCAAATTCGTTTTACTTTGAAATGCTATGATGCTATTAATTATGTGACACAATGTTTGTTGTTACATCCTGACATGTAAATGTAAAACTTCTGCACATTTAATTGAAATGAAATTATAGCCATTGCAAGGGTCAACAGTGGTGAGTAACTCTAACCCCTTAAAAAGGTGCTCACTGACAGCATTACTGATCACATGGAGGTGAAATACCACTTATGTTTCCAATTAAGGAAAAAATGAAGATTGCAAACACATTTACTGATTTTGTTCTTTTTCACTGCATGTGTCTGTACACTTCCTGATGTTTAGACTCAATTCAAGAACATCCTTGTGAATTGCCTCCAGTATTGTGTTAACACACATTAAGTACAGGCAAAATATTAGCATCTTCATTCAAATAAAAATAGTGTGGTAAACCTCACAAACACTGTTTGGAATGGATGGGAAAGTACCTTCCAACTTAACAGTTTCTAATTAAATAGGTTGCGGCTAATGCATATTTAGCTGAACACTGAGTGGACAAGGCCAGCGTGCACCACATCACCCCAGCCACATAGCATGTCCTCCACAGCTTTCTGTGTAGCGAGCCTGCAGCGTGGCCAGCCTGCCCACTGACTGTTAATCTGTGATGTCAGGCCAAGGCTCAGAGGATATTTACTGTATGTGCGACTTGGCAGCATGGATTACAGGTCATGCAAACTGCCTTGCTCTAGTTGTGTGTCGCTTGCTAAGCCACGGGTCTAGACAGCTGTCTTCCTTCCGATCTGTGCTGGCAAGTACACTCTTATTTTTAAGATGCCCCCTAAGATGCACACATTTTATTTTATCAACAGATTAGTCTATACTTTAAATCATATTATCTAGCTAAGATACTTAGCGACTTAAATGCCACGTCTTCATTGCTGGTGTTTGAAACCCCATGTTGAGAGTGAAGCTTTCCCATGACTGAGCACGAATTAGAAACAGAATATAGTCTGCAAAAGACATGTTGCCCCGTCATCCCTCTCTCAATCCCAGCTTCTCCCATCTCTTAAGCCTCTGCTATAATGCCAGCCTACACTGATGTTAATTGGGACTTACACACCTCTCATCTGGTGACACAGCCCCACTTCACACAGCCCTGATGAATTCCATGTGTGTGTGTTTCTTCAGTGTTCCTTCTACCACCATCGCTTCATCAAGGGCCTCCAGAGTCTATACTGTGAAATGCTGTCATATTAAAATTGAACACAAACCATGTGTTTACAACAAGGCCTTGCAAAAGTGTCAACACAAGATTGACTGAACATGTGTCATCGCAACAGCGGTTTATTTATTTGATTTCAGCTTTTATTCTCCATCAGTTTTAGGAATCTGTCAAATGATAACAAAGCGGTTCCAGTGATGGCTCCACAGATGAAATGTGTGCTTATAGTTTTACTTTCTGTTAACCACAATACTTAAATCAAACCCTCATTTTATCATTCAAACTCGACTAATCTCTTTTTCTGTAAAATCAACTTCTCATTTCTCTTTTTTCCTCTGGGACTCTGGACTACTTCGAGAGGAATCGTGCTGGTTTGCCAGATCTCCACATGACAAAACCCCCACATTAACATTAGGAGTGCATACACAGCTTTAACTTTGGAGTGATGCAATGTCCAAAACAATGTCCCCAATCCAGTTTTACGATGCTATTTAGTGCCTGCGATCTAATTAGCTAGCTTATGTGGTTAGGGCAGTTATTCCCGTTGCTTTGGCTTACTCGTATCATCTGTTTGTTATAGGATCACGACGATCTAAGCTAAATTCAAAGAAGAATGGTCGCTCTTCCCGGTCTGGAGACGCGCTGACTGGAAAGTGGGTTAGGCGGTCACGGCACACTTTGCTCCTTAGCTAGCAGGCAGACCAGGCTAGCCCTCCCCTCGCTCCAGTGCAGTCCCCCAAACAATACCCGGCTGCCGTCGACTGTGTGGACCGCGTTGAGTCCCGTCGATCTCGAATAACCCCCGTTACACTAAATCACTAACACACACGGGGGGTTAGATTAGCTGGGGGATACTCACCCAATTGACCCTCCGTGATTGTGAGCACGATTTGATCCATGAGGAGGGAGCGGAATTCAACGTCCTCGTCGGCGCAGCGCTCCTTCAGTGCCCGGAGGATCTGGACTTGGGGATACTCCTGGCTGATGCGCCGGTCGGTCACGAACCAAACCCGGGAACACATTTCTCTTATTGTTGCGTGCGAGGATTCAAAAAGTTACCAAAAAAAGAGACACGCTCGGTTGTAGTCGTGGGAGGGGGGCAGGTGTGTGGTGGCAGCGCGGGATCCGGGGGTCGGGCGGGCGGCAGCGGAATAGCACAGAGATGCTCACACAATGGAGACCTCGGCGGCTAGCGGCACGAGCGGGCGGTGGTGTGGCTACAAACAGGAGCGCGGCCCGAACCGGCTAGGACGACTTATATTCTGTATCACCTTTGTTCGCCTTCATTTGCAGCCATTTAGTCCTCCCGGGGGCGCAGTTACACGGACCCAGCTCGCAGAAATTCAACAAACAGGCCGGAAAATATCTCTTGCCTCTGTCAATCGAGATGCGGCTCCTGGCTTGATGTGCCTGCCGGGGCAGACAAAGCTCGGGCTGTGCCGCTGTACTCGTCCCCTCTTGTCGGCTCAAAAACTACCAGTGAAATTCGGCGCGGCCGCAGCGGTGGATCGACCCGCAGACTGCTCGGTTAATCGCAGTGAACTCCCGCTAACACACGACCACCGTCCTCCAGTTTGTTGGCCGCTATCCACGAGGTATTGGTGCTGAAAAGTGCACACGCTCGGTTTACAACTCCGATGCTCCGCGTGCCCGTTGCGCGGCGAGGCGGGGCCTGCTCCCACAATAAAAATGTTCGGAGGCGCGCGAGCCAATGGGGAGCGTGGAAACCGGGGAGAGAGCGGGGGCGGGGCCTGGCGGAGGAGGGCGCGCGGAGGGCTGCGTGAACGTCGGTGCGCGGCGGAGTCATAGTCTGCAGTGCGCACGAGACCGCGCACTTTCCGAACCGGTTCAGACCAGACGGTGCGAGGAGGTTTGGTGAAAACCGACAGTGCTGTCTCCATGCTGGAGAGGCAGGAAATGGAGGAAAGAGCCGGGATCACACACCAGACATGTTCCTGCCTCTCTATATCTTTATATACACAGTCTGTGCCTCTTTATATCTTTATATACACAGTCTGTGACTCTTAATATCTTTATATACACAGTCTGTGACTCTTAATATCTTTATATACACAGTCTATACCTCTTTATATCTGTATATACACAGTCTATACCTCTTTATATCTGTATATACACAGTCTATACCTCTTTATATCTGTATATACACAGTCTATACCTCTTTATATTGTTAAATACACAGTAAATGCCTCTTTATATCTTTATATACACCGTCTGTGCTTCTTTATATCTTTATATACACAGTCTATGCCTTTTTATACACAGTATGACTCTTAATATCTTTATATACATAGTCTATGCCTCTTTATATTGTTATATACACAGTCTATGCCTTGTTATATCTTTATAATCACAGTCTACACCTCGTTATATCTATATACACACAGGTTATGCCTCTTTATACACAGTCTATGCCTCTTTATATCTATATATACACAGGTTATGCCTCTTTATACACTGTCTATGCCTCATTATATCTTTATATAAACAGTCTATGCCTGGTTATACTACCTGGTTTACAACACATCCAATTTGTTATGCTTTAACAATAATAAAAAAATAACAAGGCAAATGTTTGGTGTTATAAAAAAAGGCAAAACAAACCACAGATTGTATTCATCGTATATTTCAAAGAATTGAAAAAAAATGTACAATTTACACAACTTTGATCTTTATCTTTATATTGCAAAAAAAATGTATATATACATATAAAAAGTTTGATATGTATATAGTATTATTCCTATTATATTGTATATAGCATTTATTTTTTATTCTTACTACATTTTCTCACTGCGCTGCTACTGTGTTGCTGTGTCTGTTGTAAATTTCCTCTACTGAGGATCAATAAAGGTACATCTTATCTTATCTTATCTTATCTGATCTTATCTTATCTTATTTTATCTTATCTTATCTCTCAGATAAAGCAGATCTGATGGAGATATCTTCTTGAATCTCTTACATACATAGTTCTTATATTTCTGGAACACCAACAGTCTCCTCCAGCCATTTAAACATAAAAAGGGGCCCAGAAAGACATCAAGGTCCAGTTCTGTATTGTTCCTTGGGTTTCTCTGCAGGTTTGCCATGTGAAATCTAACACCAAGACCTGAATGATATCACCATACCAGAGTACGAAAGTGACCCTGGTGACCTAGAATGATTTGTTATATCACTTCTTCAGAACTTCCTATCGGTAACTCCTGATGTAATTAGATATAATTGGATTAATGTGACCTGGACCCAGACAAACAGGAGAAATATGAGGCGTGGGTGAATTAACCAATTAAAGTGAAGACGTCTGTAACTTTCTGTGAAACGTGAATTTCTAACCTATGATGCAGGATTAGTGAGATCTTGTTTTTCTTTGTGAGCTGTGTTTTTCTCTTTGTACCAGGATGCTCTTATTTGCCTCACCTTGACATTCATTTGTATTTTGTGTTTCAGTTATTCTCACACTCTCCTCTCCACTCACAGACATTGCAAGGATCTTGACCTGCTGATAAACACACCCTGTATTTTGATAGTTAAAACACATGGCATTAAATACACTGAATCAAAGTGGGATACATATTGATACAGTTTTGACATTATGGTGAAAAAAATAATAAAAAGTAAAATTAGTCTTACATATATGTTAATCCCAAAATGTTTAATGTCCACATAACGTTTCATCAGTATGAATAAAACAAAAAATCAACGCAAAGGTTGCAAAATCCTTAAATCAACTTCTCCACAGAATCATTTACATCAGATCAACAATCACAGCAAATGCAACTCCGCGCATGCGTACTCCCATGTGGCGAGCTCGGCGTGTTCTCGCGAGACTTGGCGATGCCCGCTCACCACCACAAGAGAGAGAAGTTTCACAAAAGCAACACGTCACTTCTCTTCTTCAGTGCCAGTAATTATTTGTGTCTGTTACTGAACCGTATTGAGTTCAGACCATAGTATTACTTTTAAATCAACAGTGCCATGAAATACCACATTTAGGCAAATTAATCTGAAATGCATAAAT